TGATTATTAGTGTTAATTTATCGAGGTTCAACTATACTCTATTTTTTTGATCCCTCGTATGTTTTCGATTTGGTACGGGTCAGTTGAACCGGCGCAGTTTAAAGAGATAAGATAATCGGCTCGTTAATCAATTTTTTCTTGTCCAAAAGAGGTATGACGCCATTGCTACAAGCGGTAAGGAGAAAGAAAATTGATTTGATATCAGAATTCTTCTTAGTTTGCTCCGAGAGCATCGTGGACGCAAACGTGAACGGAGAAAACGCTCTTCACATAGCTGTAAAGAACGAAGACCAAAGAGAAGGATTAATAGTTCTCAAAGTTCTCATGGGATGGATCCTAAGATTATGTCAAAAAGATGCAGAGTTGATCGAAACAAGAGTCATAAACAGAAGAGACAAAGATGGTAACACGGCTTTACATCTGGCAGCGTACGAGAACAATATCCAAGCTACGAAACTGATGTTGAAAAGCTCCAAGATTAACGTAAACATCGAGAACAACGATGGTTTAACTGTTGTCGACATTGCCGTATTACAGAGACATGGAGCTGTAGAGAGAAAGGTTAAGAGACATGGAGGAAAACGTTCGGTTTCTCTGGTTAAGATTAAGACAACATCGGATATACTCGGCTCGCGGCTTACATGGAGAGAATCAAGAAGGACGAGGATGATTCGGTCTTATTCTTGGATCTCTGAAGAAATAAGAAACGCGCTTTTAGTAGCCGCAACTCTGATAATCACAGCTACTTATCAGACCGTTCTCCAGCCTCCAGGAGGCGTTTACGATAGTGGTGAAAGCGGTGGTGGAACCAACGGTACAAAAGCGGGTTCGGTGGTTATGGGAGAGGGATACTTTATACTGTTATGGTTATGGAATAGTGTGGGTTTCTACTTAGCCACGACATTGACGCTGGTTTTGTTGAGTTTAGGGCAAGAGAGTATGTTTTGGTATTACCCTCTGTTTATTCCTTTGCTCTTCGCTTACTATGTTGCGGGGAATGTGATCTCGCCGAACTCGAGCGTGTCCCATATCGCAAATGTGGGTGCGCTCGTGGTTCTGATACTTTGGGGTTTGGTGGTTAGGTTTTGGGAATGGGTGCAATTTAAGCGAGCCAAGGTGCGTGGACCCAAGAGTGGATTGGTTTGGGAAGGTTTCACTACGTTGGATCAAGCTAGAGGTGTTGCACCTAAAGGGTATGTCATTAGGTGATCCACCACCCCCAAAAGAATGTTTCATAGATCTATGTACGATATAGAGAAAATCAGATGTACAAATGATATTTGTGGACAAAAAATTTATAGCAGCTTGTGACATGAAACACGTTGTATCAATCAAATTTATAGAACGAGACCTAAACTTTGTATTCTGTAGATATAGTGTTATACGAAAAATTTGGAAGGAGAAGAGAGAGGGAATAGAACGTCAACCCTCATGAAGTCATGATTAAAGAATCAAAATATATTAAGATTTGAATCACAGATTATGATATAAAATAAGCTGAACTTGAATATATTTATATAAATCTAGTTTGCTTGTATACTTTTCTCTCCGTTTTTTACCTATATGACACGAAACTATTGTTGTAAATTATCTTTTTGTAATATATGTGGAAAATAAGATTATACTTGTAATTTGTTAAATTTACTATGGGTATAACTGGTATCAGCCTAATGGCTGAATTGTTGGGTTGGGTTTATACGAACCTCGGTTCTAAGGAAGACACTAATAATGGAGA